GCCGCCTTGTAATTTCCCTCTCTCTGCGACACAGATTGCAGAGGCTGCAGCGAGAGGCTGGTTCGCGGCTTGGGTGAATTTCATCTTCGGGTCTTTAATAAATCAAAACTTGTGGGGTAATTTAATTGACATTGAAAAATCCATTCTACCATTATGTCATGGTTTGCGTTATAATTTTAAATTTTTTTAACAAATAACTGTCACAGAATTCAAAATAAATGATTGATATTTTGAACTTACTGTTTTAATCAATCTCGTATCAAAAGTTTGAAATTGTGTTGTGTTGTCGACTGAAACCTCAATCTCATTATTACGTCATTATTACTAAGTTGTAGTCGTAATTAATGAGTGTTCTCTTTTAACATGCAGTTAATTGGTATGTCCTTATTTGTTGACTGGTTGATGCTATGTATAAAGATTTAAAAAGATATTAAAAATTGGTAATTTAGGGATGGTCAGTAAGGTTTAACCAAACTTTACCAAATTGAGTCTAAAGCATAAACCCCAAATGTTATATCTTTGTTAGGGGTTAAAGACCTAGGGCGAGACGTAAGGTCTACCATGCATGTGTTAGGTAAATTGCAAATAACAAGTCTGTTAAGACATTTGGTCACAAGGGAGATCGGGTTCTCCCGATTTGGTCCTCAGCCACTCATTAGCACGGAACATTATAGGCCGACCCATCGCACCATGCCCGTGCAGACGATGCGATCACACTTGGCAAATCCATCAAGTACTCATAGCTTTTGCAAGTAGAGAGCCACTATGGATATGGACCGGGTCAACCCAATCAATAGTTCACCGTAAACACGCATCCGACTAGCTTTGTCAACGGTCCACCACGGAGCGCCTCGAAGCGGCATAACCAATCATCCCACCATGAGTGTGCCCAAATTAGCCCACTTCGGAAGAGCTGCCTCCAAAATACAAACTCCCCCTAAAATTACATGTGGCAAGTCACCTTGACAATCAGGTCAAAACTGGTACAACCAAGTAACCCATAGCCAGACAATTCTTTGAAATTGAAGCATAATCACATGCCAACATTAAATACTAGGAGGTGTAACCATTCAACGTACACGTAATCCCACACAATTTCCCACTATGTTTCTTCACTCTTACGAAACTTAAGCTTATTCCTTGACTTCATCATCGGAGTGTGGCAAGCAGATACTACATTGGTGTCTATTCTCTCTGTCTGTTAGTGTAGGTAGCCACGTACTCCAGATTCGCAAAGCTAAAATTTCACCCCTTATCTTGTTTACCATCTATCGAGTCAATTCTAAACCATCCGATTTAATTAGCCTCCAAATTTACCCCTCAACAATTTTTTTATAGGAATTGCTGATGTGTGACTTCATCAAACATATTGATAGAACTTGCTACAATAATATAGTCCACATAGTTGCAAAATGATGATGGATTTGGAAATATCGAAGAGGAGTCAAGGATGTGTGCCTCCCTGACAAGTCTTTCTTGTTTGAAAACAAAATCATGACCATTCCAAGACAAAATCAGAACGAATTTTTCTAGTTTCTAATACAAAACCCCAAGAATCAAATAAAATTTTTTGAATTTATAGGGAGCAAATTGAAATTAAATCTAAAGTTATAAAAACGATATAATTAAAAGTAGCAAAATCAAAATCAAACTCAAATTTAAATTTAAATATAATATACTAAAAAAGTCCACACTTAATATTAGAAAAGAATGTGCCATTGATTGAAAGTTGTATAATTTTTTTAATTATGTGGTGGCGGTAATCTTCAGTATACTGTGTCCAAATTGAACACGTCAGAGGAAAATCATCTAAATAAATGATGGAAAATCCACGCTGCCAGTGCCAATTAAAGAAGGCCGGAGTAATTTGAGGCGTTCATTGTCACATGCGATGAGTCCATGCAGAAAGATAATATTAACATGAATTTAATCTTTAAGAAAATATTTTTCTCTCTAGTCAAAATTTTAATGGTGGTGAATAAGGGAGGGACCTTGACTAATAAACATTTAAAATATTATATTAAATTAGTTTTAGAATGAAAAAGTAATGAATGTTAGTGGTTATTATTCTAATTTGTTCTCTTATACCTTTCCTATCATTCACCTACCAATAATTGCCCAATTACTATTTCCAAAATAATAATAATATCAGATTACCATTTTCTTCTCTTATTATGCTTTTTTTTCTCTCCTTTTATTTTCCTATTTCTCTCCTTTTATGTTAAATCAATTGAATAAAAAATGAAATTATAGATACTTAGATTCAAAGCTACGATATGATGTTAAATTATTTTTGTTAAAAAATTTAAAGTGATAAGTATGAATGTTATATTTTAAATACATTTTTAATCAGCAGCTGAAAAAAATTCCCTTCATCACTCACCCTCTTTTTCTATATGATGCTATTCTTCTTCCTAAAATTTATTTAAATATATATTACCACTATACCTTTTTTTCTCTTGCATACATTAATCTTCTTTCCAAACTTTTAATTTATATATTTTTCTAATGTAACAAATATGGAAGACATAGATTTGAACATCTAACCTAAAAAAAATTAGTTATAGATTATATTTACGGATGAAATATAGATTATATGTTGATTTCTAAATTATACGTGTCAGTTGGGTCTAATAATATAATTGTTTTAAAATTTTGTAAATCAAAATATAATTCAATTGATTAAAATATATATTATTAATAAAAAAATAGTAGATTCGAATTTTTCCATAGAATTGTGAGTCGATGGCTTGATGTGGAAGATGAAGATATGTCATGTGTCACTGCAACGGGCCAAAAACGACGATTCATCGGTTTCGAAACAGTTTCGGCGAATACAAATTATAAAGCTAAGCACATACGTCTGTTCAGTGTTGTATCAGAAAAGTCAAGCCGTCGCCCACCGTTGGGTCTCTCTCGTCACGTTGTCCACACACTATCAATATTTTTCTTCATTTTATTATCATATATTTTCCCTATTTTATTGCTTATTTGTAAAAAAAATAATAAGTTAAAAAAATTAAATCTAATGAATGAAGTTTTTGTTTGATAACTTGTTTGTTTTTAATTTTATATGTTTGTTTATTCACAATTTTTTTTATATTCTTGTTTTTTATTTTCTAATTTTTAAATTATGTTAGCTTCTTCATAATTTTTTTTATATATATTTGAAAAAAAAATTTGAAAAAAAAATGAACTAAAAAACAATAAATAAATTTTACAAACCTTTTTCTAATTTCAAAATTTTACTTAGATTTTGAAAATATTTTATTTTTAAAAAAGAGCTTTCTTGATTTTAAAAAACATAAAATAAGAAATAAAGTGGTCATCAAAGGTAACCTAAACTTTTGTTTTTATATCATTTTGATCCATGAACTATTAAAACGTTTATTTTATTATTAGACTTAAGAAAACAACAATTTCCGTGGTTGAATTTTCAAAATTTCTATTTTATTACACTCTTAACTTTATATATACACACACTATTCTAGTACCTAATATTCATCACTCGATATAATAAATTAATTAAAGTTGACATGATTAAAATGAGATTTAAAAACCTTAGACATGAGTGTGAAATTCTTAAATTTGTGAAAATCTTGATAAGAGTTTGAATATATATAGTGATCAGAATTAGTATGACACAACAAAAATGTGTGTCGTTCTTCTGTTTTTAAGAACATGCATGAAACACATGTTGGTCAAATTACTTTTATATTTTAAATTTTTGGGGCAAATATATATATATATATATATATATATATATATATATATATATTTTACATAGCTTAAGGTAACAGATTTGGATAGGTTATAAGTCAACATTTCATTTAGTTGCTTTTTGGGGAAAATGTCTGAATTTTGCTTTTTCATAATCTTTGTTGATGTACGGCATGGGAGTGGTGAACTGTTCTTCCTTATAACTAAATCTAGCATTAGTACATTGGAGCTCGAAATTAATACTTAGGACATGTGTGATAGTAGAATTAGTGATTTCGAAAAAAATGATTTAAATAGAGTTGATTTTTTAAAATCCTCATCCATTTTAAATTTTGATAAAATTAATTTTTTAATTTGTCAAACAAATCTCGACAAATAATAAAAATGATTTTGGTCAGACAAAGGATTGCACTTGTCATCAAATCAGTGACGGTACTATGACAACGGAACTGAAAGCTGTCAAATGTCAGCATGTGTTGGGACCCATTTGGGCTCCTTCCATGCGGTCATGGGCCCGTCCTACCTTATTTTGGAGTGTCCAAGCTGGAGCCCAAGCACACATGTCGAATGATCCCGTAACGATCTTAACTAAAATTATTTTAAAACAAATCCTCAATTATTCTAACATCTAAAATTATGTGGGAAAGAGTAAAATAACGGTGGTTAAATTATCAATTTGGTTTTTATGACAGCTTTGTTACAGTTTTTGTTTGGTTTCTGCGATGTTAAAAGTTTTAATTTAACCTCTATTAGTTGAGTTAGTGTTAATTGATCCACATGATTTTAACAGTTTCAATTTAGTTCTTATGGTTCCGGATTAGTTTTAAATTTGATTCTTATAATTATTCAATTCTATACTTATAATTTAGTTTAAGATCACAAAATTGTTCAAAATACACTCCTTTATTCAATATACAAAATGTGTCGTATTCAATTTACGAGGTTTAGCGAAACCATAAAAACTAAACTTAAAATTTAGAAAAAAAAAATTAAAAAGTTTAAAATCGCGAGTAAATTAAAACTACTTGAAACTATATAGAGTAAATTAATAATTTAACTTTGTGCGCAATTTATAAKTAGTATGTGTATGTTCACAAATGCAGACAAAGAACCCAAAACACATCTTATCAAAAAAGAACTTTTGCATTTTTTTACAAATATTAATAAATAAAAAATGAAAATATAGCAATATGATTATTATTAAAGAAAAGGCGATTTCCTTTCTTTCTTTATGATTAATTATTATAAATTTACAAATAGTACGTTCCTCTAAGAACAAAGAAAAAAAAAAGGAAAAAGCCACTCTCCTTTGAAAAACAGCACACAAACAAACGCCTTTCTTCTTGCATTTTGATTTGCTTTTCTTCGTGGCAGACAACAATAAGGAGAAAAATAAGTGAGAGTTAAAAGAAATTTAAAAGAGGATCTTTATTGACAAGAAAGCGACTTTTTTTCTTGCTCTTTAATTATKTCCTTTCTTCTTCACATGACATGACTACAATTATTGGGAAATGATAAAATATCTCAAATTCTTTGATAACTTTCTAACATGATTAAGAGTATGTAGCAGTTTGTAGGTGAAGTTTAGATGATCTTTTATGAAGTATTTGGAACGATTTTTTAAAATAGATTTTAAATAAAATTACTTTTTATACCTAAGGCTTGAATTACTGATTTAGAAGAATTACTAATTTGGAACGTATTCAGGRCATATTTGAGAATGATTTGACTAAACATCCAAACTATGTTTCACCATTATAAATTTAAATTAGGTTCTTCCATTGAACTGATTCAATGGTAGGAAATTATAAATAGCATATATGTAACTTTTAATYTTTTGAACTAATTTCTAAAAGAAGAAAATTAAATCTTTTCAATTCATTCTTTAATTATGAAAGAAGCAAATTTAATTAACCTTCTATCTCATTCATTCATTTATTAAAAAACGATGAGATAACAAAAGGTAACAATAATTTTTTCTGACTCAAGGGAATAAATATGAGCAAATCTCTAAATTTTTTAATGAGTTATATGTTGGTTTGTAAGAAGATTGCAAGCAAAGTTTCASATTGGTCAAGGAAGAGAGTAATTTATGGGGTATAAGAGAGACAATTATCTYCATTGGTATGAGGTCTTTTTGGTCAAACCAAAAGCAAATCAGTGAACACTATACCTCAAGTATACAATATCGTAYAATTGTGGAGATACTTGGGATACGAGAGTACCATTATCTTATCATTATACATCATCATTGAACAAACTTGTGTATCGAGAACGCTCATTATATATATGGCCAAGTTATTCGCATCACCAAAATGCTCGTTTCCTTGAGAGGTTATTGCATAAACTTGCTACTTCAATTCTTCAACTTTTATCGTTTGAAAGAGTCTTGTTCATGTGATCCCACTTGTTTAATCTTTTCATCGCTTCTTCCACCTGCAATTTCAATCAAAAATTTATWTTTATTCTTATTTTTTTTAAATGGAAAGGTATTATATCAAGAGTTGAACACACTAAACAACGGAACAAAAAAGAACGGATAAAATCAATATTAGACTATCCATATCCCGACACTACACAATCTTACACCCAAGACATAGGCTATGAAACTCCAAAACTTAACATTCTCAGGTTTAAGACGTCGAACCCATACGACAAACGCTTTCTAAATTGTCAAATAAAATACAATAAAACCAACATTTAAGTTCCATAAAAATAACGCTACCTCTTTGTTCCAATCGGCACGAAACGTCACCCACACCAAAATGAACGTTTGCATGGCTGTACCACTAAGCATCCCCAACCATATGCCCTACATATACATCACACTCATTATATTAATAAATTACATTATTTTCTTCAGAATATAATCTATCAAATTCAAAAAGTTGAATAATGAAAATATTTTGTTATTTTTAGTTAGAAATTAAAAATAAAAAACCTTAGCTCCTAATTTAAAGTGGAAGCCGAGGAGGGCTCCCAAAGGCAGTCCGAGCACGTAATAGCAGCCCACGTTCACGTACGCAACAAAAGCTTGCCATCCGCACCCCACGGCCACGCCTTCATTTATTTATTTGATTAACACGTCATCAAATACACCGTACCATAAATGTTAAATATATAAATTTAGGAAAAAATACATTTTTTTGGTAATAAAAGAAAAGATGAATACCGGATAAAACAGGCTGAATTCCATTGAGGAGAAGAGTGAGAGCAAGAAAAGGACAGAGATCAGAGACGGCGGCGGCTTCGGTGAAGACATAGCTGATGACGTTGCGGAACGCGAGTACCGTTGAAGCGATAAATATGGATATCATGAACGAAATTACGGTCACCACCACCACCGAAAATGCTGCCGATTTTGGATGCCCAACTCCCAGCTCGTTTCCCACTCTCACACTGCATTCAAAAACACATATTTCAAATAAATGTTATGAAATAATTTTATTTTCAAGTAGAATATTRATATTGAGTCTTTCTAACTCCAAGTTAAATTATATAATTTATCCATGTCCTCGAAATATTGTGTCTACCCTAGTTACTTAAACTTTAATAAGTTTCGAATTTACATCTCTAAATATTAAGCTAGGTTTCCAATTTCTTTAAATTTAGATATGACATGATACGACAATGGGACATATTAAAAATAAATGAAGGGATTGATAAATTGAATTAGATTTAAAAATCATTTTAAACACGTATATCCTAATCTTTGTTTCTTTACCTGCCCAATTAATATCCCAAACACATATTCAATGGGTTGTCAAATCATGCTACTTATCATATGTATATGACCATAATAAAAATGAATGTATTTCATTAGTATTTTAATAATCTCCCAAACATGTTCAACTAATTGTCGGATCACGTCATTCCATCTATAATGGATAAATAAATAAATAAAAAGAGTGTTATGGTTATGGGAATGATAGCGTAGTGAGAATATGGGTAACCTTGCAGCTGCGTTGAAGCCCACAGAAATCATGAATGCCAGACCATTAATGGTGGTACTGCAAATAACCAAAAATTTTAGCAGGTCAGAATTTAAACCAATAAAATGAAGAAAAAGAATTTCACAGGAAAAGAAAAAAATTAATGGTGCTACTGCAAATAACCAAACATTATTCAATGAGGTGAGAATTTAAACCAATAAATGAAGAACCCAAAAAAAAAAAAACAAGTTAATGGTAGTACTGCAAACAACCAAATATTGTACGAGGTGAGAATTTATAATAATTTCACAAGGAAAAAAAAAAGTTACTTTCTATAGGTATAATCCTTCAATTATTTCTATTTCTTTCTTCGTTTTTTTTTTGTTTGACCTCCATTCAATTGTAAACATTTAAGAGATGCAAATTAAAAAATAATTTTAAAAATTATAATTTTTCTATATAAAGTTTTAATGTTTCTTTCTCTTGGAGTTTAGCACTAATTAAACTAATTTAGCTATCCATAGGTCCAACATATAAAATTTTAAAATGTTCCTTTCTAGTATAATACAACAAATAAACAGATCTAATTTTCAAGTTCAATAAAATTAATTAATGCAAGCATATAAATTTTTTGATTTATGATTTTTTTTTAAGTTCTAACAATCTGCAGGAGCGGAAGATTGAACCATTGGAAGCTAGGGTAACAATCCACTGAAATATAAGACGAATTCATAATAAATGAAATTGTCCTATTCTTTTCTATTCTTGCCCAGTTTATGATATTAGAGAAATTATTTAAAATTGTATTGATTGAAGTTCAATTGAGGCCGATATTTGAACCTAACTCAATCGATCGACTAAAAAAATTGATCTGAGTCCCATGGCCCCACCCCACATAGTTGCATTAGAAAAAAAAAAGAAATAAATAGGACGACATTTATTTCTAGTCATCACAATTATTAACCTACCCCACTCCTTCRCACATCAAATAAGTTTTTTTATGAAAAATATTTGGATTTCTTGATAATCCAATTATCTTTTTCATCATTAAATATTTAATCATTCAAAAAAATAAATAAATAACAGAGAAAAATAAGCATTTTATGGGGAGGACAAAGTTAGGTCGCATTTATAAGTAGCCAAAGTAATTTTAATTTCTTATTGTTATAAAAAAGACAAATTTCTTATTTTCCAAAACGAGAGCGCATCCCCCATTTCCACACCTTTTTCCCACAAATGGACAAAGATGTCTTGTCAGGTTCTGCTTATTTTAAAATTTAATTTAAATTGTTCAGCTGACCAGTAAAAACATCCCCTAAGGCTGAATTTTTTACTTTATAAACTTTCTCACTGGTTCTGATTTTTATATTTTGAAATACCATTCTTTCTAATTCTTCATCTTTATATTTAAACTATTGATTTTTATGGTTCAGTTTTTATATCAAAACAAACTATTATATTGCTCAACTTTAAGGCTAGAAATAGATTTTCTTTTCTCTTGAAAGTATAAAACTTAAAAGAAAAAAGAATTAATCTTATTTGGTACATGTCAATTACCACTGAGTTATGCTCGCTTTAGTAATTTTAAAAATATTTATAAATATGTAATTTTTTTTTTAAGAAAATGAGCATATACAACTTTTTTATTAAACCATTATAAAAGGGTATTATTTTAGGAAAACTATAAATCATTTATTAGATTTGCTATATATTTCCATAAAAGAAATAATAAAGGCTAAAAGTATTAGAAACTTCTCCAAAGCATTTGAGCCCCCACCCGGATTCCAACCACCAAACAAAAACAAAAAATCMTTTTTAACCAAAAAAAATCTTTACAATAGTATAATATTGTCCATTTTAGTCCTAAGTTTCACGACTTTGTTTTTGCTTTTACCAAAAAAATCTTGTACGAATGTATGTCTTATAATACCATGGATCACTATCTTTCCTAGTYAAACATGAAACTTTATTCGCACTCTTTTATGAAACCAACACTTTCCTAAATTGGAAAAAAAAGTCTAATAAATTGATACATATATATAGTATTTAGTAGATCTCTAAATTAATAAATCCCTAAAGTTTCAATTTTGTATCTAATATAAACAAAGAAAAAAAATTAATTTGACAGACACGGAAATTGGAAAAGCGAAATCATATTAGACACAAGTCTAATGACTGAGGAAGCATTAGTGATAACCTGAAAATACTTGACTCCTTAATAGTAGAGAGAAATCTTGTCCTTACTATCTTTACCTGACAAYTAAGAGAAATAAATGTAAAAATAGATACTTTGTATAAAAATTTATATAAAAATTAATGAATTGTCAAATTTTCAACTATTTTACTRACTCTCAACCAACAAAGTATTTTTCTAATTTAAGATTCTGCTTTGCTAGACACTAACTTTGTAAAAAATAAATTTCTCAAAAAAGAAAAAACTTTGTTAAAAAGATTAACTTGTTTTTTACTAACTTTATAATTATTGTCTTTAATATTTTATCACATTACCAAAAGGAAGGGAAAAACTTGTAGAGAAAAGAAAATTTACCAGACAGAGAGGGAACTGAGAGCGAGCTCAGGGTTTTCGAGAAGGCCGGCGACGAGAACCAGAATCTGGAAATACCACGTCTCCAAACAAAGCATAATCGCCGACGCCGCCGACAGCCTAAAGAACTCCGGCAAGCCGGTGAATGCCTGAGCGCTGAACCCCCTCCACGTCGCCCTACACTTGTCGCTCTTCACTATATACACGAATTGCGCCGCCACGATTATCCACCACGACAGGCTCAGCACCGACGACGCTCCGATCAATCCCAGCCCCAATTTGTAGGCCGCCACCCAACTGAGCGCCAAGTGGACCACCAACGTCGCCGCCGATATGAACGCGCTCGGATACACGATGCTCTGCGCCTGGAGAAACTTCTGGATTGGGAAGTTCACGGCGTACGCGAAGATTTGGGGGATCAGACCGTACACGAAAACCGCGGCGGAGGAAGCGATTTTGGGGGATTCGCCGAGGAACAAAAGGATGGGCTCCGAGAAGATGTAGAGGAGGGTTAAGAGGAAGCCCACTAAGGTTAGTAAAATCGTTGATCTTTGTAAATAGATGCCCAGCATTTCGAATTTCTTGGCGCCGTATGCTTGCCCGCATAATGTCTCCACCGCGCTGCCCATGCCCAACTGGAAAAGAATATTAAATTCCAAGTTCTTTGAATCCCAGCTAAACCAAAAAAAAGTGAACCAGACTGATCATCGTTGAGCAAATATATTTGGGTGRCGATGAAATCTTGTCCTTTATCACAATTAAATAATTGACAACTCAGTTAATTTTTATAAAAATGCTCCATTTTTGCACTCCACTCCCTTGGTTGTCAACAAAGCTTTTGTCTTCCAACCTCAAAAGACTTTGAAATTAATTTTCTACCCATTTCTATTCTTTTATTGGAACTAAAATTTGACAATCTCTAAAATTTTTCCCTCTAAGATCCAAATTTCTCAACTGAAAATAAGCTTCGATTTTATTTGGGTGAAGTCAGTTAATAATATAAAATGGTATTTCAAAAGCTGGAGCATAAATTTACTTAATGGATAGGTTGGTGTGAGATGAAACATAATATTTTGTTTTGCAGACGGGATAAAATTAAATGGTGTCAGTTATTGTGAGTTATTGAATAAATTATATTTATACCATGAGACCGTAAGCAAAAACTTGGATGCCACTGTTGCCGAGGGAAGCGGCGGCGAGCTCAAGGTTGCCGAGGTGGCCGGAGAAGATGCGGGTGGACATGGACATCATATTGTTGACCATGTACACGAACACCGCCGGAACTGCCAGGTGGGACAGAAGCTTCAGCTCGATCCACGTGGCCTTACCTATTCGGTCCACGTAAGCCAACTGGGTATCTGATAATATCATCTCCAGCGCCTCGCCGCTGGGGCTCGGCTCCTGCTTGTCGGAGGACGGCGGCGTTGGATGCAACAGTGACTCATGAATATCGTTGTGACTGTGAGTGTGAGCAGCAGATTCCATATTCTCTCTCTCAATCTCTATTGTCTTCGTCTTGACCTCTGCAGAAGCAAAAGAGAAGATGGTTGGAGCTTCATTTATCACCTCCCAATTATTAAATAAACGTGGATGTCGATGGTTGGTTCAGATTCCATCTCAAAATCAATTGRCAACGAGGRGAGTAGTSCATGTATAAGATTCATTTCTTTTCAACGTGAGATGTTCCTCTTTCGTAAATAAATGAAAAATCTTTAGGTTTTTGGTCGAATGGCACGATTCGGGTGGTTGTTACAATTTTACTCCTAAATCTTTAATGGTAAAAATCAAAACTATTAAACATGGTAAAATAACACCATCTAGTATCTCAAATGCACTAAATATCTCTCCGTGTCTRCTTTAGAYATAACTCTTTATTTTTTGTTCCTTATCTACCAATTACAGATCATTTTCTTTTCTAATCAAATAATGTAGAACTTTGTTTGTACACCTTACAAATCCAATAAAAGTTGACGTGGTTAGACCTTTCCATCGCACTCCAACATGGCCTCACTTCATCCGATCCGCACACCACATTTGTCGGAGAGTTGCACAGCTCGCAAAATTGCTTCATTTTTCCACCACCGTATATTTCCGACAACTCCATCTTCCGCGATTTATAACACACAGAAAAAGAAGAAAAAAAAAGGACAAAAAGAAAGAGTAAATTAAAGTGTTGGAACTTTGAAGGGAGCGGCCATTAATGAAGGTGGTCCATGGAAGAGAGAATTATTAATTTTTTTTTCTCTGTATTTGGACCGCGGTAAAGAAAGATGATGGGAAATTGGAAGGGGGAGAGAAGGGAATTTTTTGCCACAATCTGTACAAAATCGAATTCTATATGAGCGAATTCTGGGTTGTTTCTCAATTTTTATTTTTCTTCTTCTYTCGGTGGATTTAGAAGTTGAAAGTATTTCTTTTTAATTTAGGATTAAATTTTTACCATTAAAAATTTAGATGGTACAGTTGTACCGGAGTTGAGGGTGAGTTTTTCCATTTATTCATGAAAGTTTAAAGGTTTAATTTTTATAATTGAAAGTTTAGAGGTGCAACGTTGGAATTCTTAATATTTAACGTATATATAATAATAGAACAAACCAATAACTTAAATATAATAACGTTGAAAGTTGATAGATAAAAATAAAATTTAAACGAATAAATGAACTTTCAAGTTTTGCAATACATTCAAKGATGAGATTCGTGAGCTCCTGTGTTATTGTAGCCCTTCAAATAATAATTTTTGGATAAATAAGTTAAGACTTGTGGGATTGRCTGTCTTARTRAAATCAATTTAAAATTACATTTTAGTGATGAGAATATATGCACGTAATAGAAAAATCCAAAAATTAACAGTAACTCACCCATTAAAGACAATGGTAAGCAATCCAAAAATCTAGGGAGGGAACTACGTTTAAGATTTAGGATTTAAGGWTAGTGTCAAATTTTTTTAGATACTAAAGTGTGAACTTCAAAAGAAATGAGTACATACTAATTATTATTAAATTATGTTTGTATTAACCAATTTATTATATACACAGCTTCTACCATTGATTTGATTTGACGTATATGTAGTTATTTAATCTGTACTAAAGTAGTTAATTTAAACGGATCCTAAACTACAAATAGAATGGAAGCAAAATTGCTAACTTTTAAACAAAAAGGTAAATTTTAAATTGGGTTAATAATTGAGTAGTAAATTAGTGAAGAAATTTGTCACATCAGATGATGCATGTTACGGATAGGCCAAAAATGTCAAATTTATTTCTTTATCGTCATTAGGCTGTCAGGTTCAGGGGTCAGCCTTCGCAGTAGTTCGGATAAGTACCTACCCATAATTCATACATTTTCATAATTTAATTTAAGTAATTACATTTCATTCCACGTAGAAAAAAAAACTTCTATTTTTATGATAGGAATTTGTAGAAAATAACTGAAAAATTATAACAAAAAGTAATAAAATAAAAATATACACTACTTAATATAGAAAAAACTTCAAATCCGAGAAAAAACTAAAACTCACTGAGAAAAATCCTGTGAAGATTTGTTACCGTTAGATTGATTTCTATCTCAACTCCAATTACACAAAATATTATCGCAAATATCGTTCGGTTAACTAGAGTTGGTATACCGTGTTTAAATGTTTCAATTGGGATGAATAAAATCKAGACTCCTTTTATATTACTTGTTGCACCTTCCCTGTATTTTTAGTTAATTTAAAATATTAATTTTAATATTTTGTCAAAATTCAACCATATTACCGTACATGTAGAATAATATTTAACTCCTACCCTAATATTAAGAATTTCCATTTTATCATGGTTGAACTTTTTTAAAACATAAAAAAAAAAATCTTATTTTTTCTATTCTTCCCTCTACTTGTCACAAAGACAACAGTGATTTGATAGGAGATTTTTTAATTTGGCACTAAGTATTGTTCTCAGATGTATTGATTAGTTACTCATATATCTGGTATATGATTTTCTACRTGACAACCTCTCAATTGGTTAAGACATTTACGTTTGACCAAAAAATATGAATTTGAATTTTCATTCCTACATATTGTACTAAAAAAAAACTGTGTAATTTTTCACCTCATCTTTAATTATTTCAATTTTTTTCTCTCATGTATTAAATTTTCATCAATCAAATTCTTCAAAACTATAAACGTGGAACAAATAATGACGTGACCGCATTGATCATGGGCATATGTAAGTTAAGAACCTAGTTCCCCTAGCATTTAAAAATGGAATAAGAATCATGATTCAACTAAAAGTCCTTTCGGGAGAAAAAAATGTTGAAGAATACGATCTCACTTCTTGTTGGTTCTAATTCAGTGATGGAACACATCAAAATTAAATGGGTTCTTATTCTAACTAGACAAAATCAAATCGCATTCAAAAATGGAAGAAAAACGTGGAGGACATTTATTTCCATATCCAAAATTCTAGATCCTCTATTATGAAATATTTTCTTCTTTTTGATAAATGAAATATTTTCTTGTTACTCTCTGGTGGAACACATTTAATTTGAATGGATTCTTATTCCAAGCAAACAAAACGGGTCTTATTTATACCGATTCTTTCCAAGATTTTCACTCCATTTTCACCCTATTTAATATTTATATCCCACTCCCTACGCAATCATCAAGTTAACAAGGCCCGTTTAAGGCAGGATGATCCAAAGAAACTCAAGGCCCACTATTGATGCAAAACAGACTGCAACGTTAGACTAGACACCTGAAATGGAGGGCTTATAAAGTATTTGGAGTACTGGTTTAGGAAGCTTGAACTTAAGTAAACTCTGAAGAGTAATAGGTTTGAGGTTACTATTGAAACTCATAAATTTATCCAACAAATCCAAATTCAGAGGACAAACCCTACCCAATTTTGAGAGACTCTTCTCTCCCACTTCACACTGCGCTTTCACTTCTTAACCAAAATGGAAAWTGATTGAGGAGAGAGGTTTCTTATTTTAGAGTACCTGCAAGAACAAATCCAATAGAGATGGGACAGGCCTATAGCTCAGAGCACGTGGCTACGAACCACGGTGTCTATCACCCTAAGTTCAACCTACCCCTAGTAGTTTTTAGAAYAATACAAATGCAAACTCAGCAAATTGGAGAGAGCAAAGCTAATCAGAGTGAASCACCACAGTAGAAACCAAGAGGGGCTTTTCCTCGGGTTGCTTCAAGTCTGTATCATGCCAATTCAAAATTGTGACCGTATTAGGATTGTACATAGATGGTAAAAATTCAGTGTTAACCGTGTCCAGGACCCTAATAAATGGCTTATATTCAAGTAACTGCATAAGAGTGTTTTAACCTTCATTATTATTATCTCCAACAATGTGGAAGGAAGCCGAGCATTACAAGTTCTGCACTGCAGTACCAAAACTAGAATCATGCTATATTTGAAATGGAGATATGAAACAGCTACAGGATGAATACTGCCAGATGAGAAAATTATTGTTACAATTGAAATAAATACAACCTCGACAGTTCTTCACAGGCAAACCTGCTAGATCGCTCACTAATCAAAAAACATTCGAGTCCCACCAGGGATTTCATTCTTTTTCCTTATTAATGAAAATGGGGAATAAGAACAGGACGAGTTCACGCCGAAGACCCCTGCTGCTGCTGCTTAATTAGAGACTCCAAAACTTCCTTACTGCTTAATGAGATTCCGAATAACGTATGGAAGTATGCCTCCATTGTTGAAATAGGCCAGCTCCACCTGTAGAGGGATCAAGATTAGATGAGGGCAGGTATATGGCCTCTCAGAAGGTCATGGTTACAATTACATACAAAAGATGCGGTGAAATACTGCAGCATTTCAAGCCGATGATGAAGTGAAAGGAAAAGAGAGTTGAATTATTACCTCAGTGTCAAAACGAACAGTACAGGTGAAAGATTTTCCAGAATCCGTAGTGACCATCACGTCTTGACCAGGCCTGATCTCATTGATATTGCTTGGGAGGTCGATCGTATATCGTTCATGTCCAGTCAATCCAAGTGAATCGGCATCCTCACCAGACTTGAAGCAAAGTGGAATGATACCCATTCCCACCAAGTTACTACGATGAATTCTCTCAAAACTTTTGGCAATGACTGCCTTGACTCCCTGGTGCCATAAAAATATAGGAAGATGGTCAATCCAGGTCTGGTAACGAAAATGAAAATTGAAAAATCCATTTTTTACAAAATTAAAAACTCACCAACAACATTGGACCCTTGGCAGCCCAATCTCGAGAGCTTCCACTTCCATACTCAGCCCCAGCCAGCACAATGGTGTCTTGACCAGCTGACTTGTATCTCTGAAACAGAAAATAGGTTGTAAGAACTTAAGTCGTCATTAAAAAAAAAATGTAAATTAGACATTACTGTAAATTATTATATCGTTATCAGAAAACATCACCACATGAGATAATAACAATGGATATAATTTTCACATGACAAGTTTGTAAAGTAACTTGTCTTTCTCTTCCTGGTGAATTGCGAAATTTAAAATACAATACGAAGAAAGACCAATATGAAGTAACTCCCTCACAGAGAGCCTCACCAGTTCCAACAATATTCCTTCCAAAATAATTCCCATCCACTATTTTGAAACTGATGTTTTATCATACGAGTTCTCGTTCACTCCACACAAAAATAGAAGCACCAGGGTAGGAATAAAACGCAAAGAAACAAAACAGAAAAGTATTGGAGAATAGCATG